TCTTGTAGTACGAGATCTTGTACCATTTTTGTAATTGTATTGGTGATTTATTCTGAATCACACAAAAAAGCACTGGACATGACGGCAAAGTTGTTTCCAAGATCATTCTCCAATCAGAAAGCAGAATGAGCCTCACATAACTCCAGCCAACCAAAAACCAAAAGATAGCCCTGGACTTTTCCCCCACAAACAGGCCCAACATAATTCATAATAAACCATTTCAATAAATCACTAATGAAATAATTGAAGAAAACACACAAAGATGAACTACTTGTGATGTTTTATTAATAAAAACACCTAAATCACTTCATTTTAAAGTGGCTTCTCTTTTTTGTCTAACCTTTTCCTTTCTCCTCACGTTTTCTGTCCAACGTCTTTGACACGAGCTCAAACAAACGAGTGACCCACTCGTCTTTGTCGTCTTTTAGGCCTATGCAATTTAAGCTTCACAAATGGGCAAATTATCGTTCTAACGCCCTCTGCTGTTAGTACAGCTGACGGCCAGTAGACCAGATGCCCGTTCTGGACTTTTCCAGAATGTACAGATTGTCAGTCCACCCCTACATGACTCTCTTATTTGTGTTGCCAGTTTCAAATCGGAAATCCAATGTTTAAAGTTAAAATGTGTCTCTGATCTGAACAGTCTCTCTCTAAACCCCAGCACCTGCACCAGTCCTGAGTCAGTGCTAGTGCAGCCTCTGCAGCTCAGGGAGGGATGTCTGGAGTTCTGAGTTTCACATGAGACCTGAACATAAACTGAGAATGAGACTAATGCAGATGTGTCTCTGCAGGTTAAAACTCTGAGGACACAGGTCAGAGGTGAATGTGGAACAGGAAGAGCACATGCTACACACACTTCCTTTAACTTCAGCTGTTGTAAATATCTCACTGAAACTTTTTACATTAACAAATGAATAAAAAACTTTGCATATAATCCCCCGAATATACATAAATAAATAAAAATAATAATTAAATGTACTTAATGTCTACTGAACATAAATACTACTGTTTAAATCAGGAGTGGGCAATTCTTTTTTGCATGGGGCCAGATGAGAAACAGAAAATAATGTGGAGGTCAAAATGCTTCACTCAGTTCTGTATAATAATCATAATATTTCTTCATAAAAAGCTGCAAATCTCATTGTTTAGACGAGCTGCTCAAACTGGGAAGAGTTTCTGTTCTGATTAAACAATGAAAAAGTGAGACTGCCAAAAAAAAAAGTCATTTAAAAAAACAGCTCTAAAATAAAATCAGTGCAGCTTTAGTTCATGTATGAGGTCAAATGATAAAATGTGTTAATGTTGTAATTCTAAATGAGCTTAAACAGGCCGGTTACAGTCAAACAAATGGCTGAATGTGGAGCTGGTCAATGCCCAGGTCTGCAGCTCTGCTTTAAAGTCATATTGATTTGGTTTTTGTTTTTTGTTTTTTTTTACAATTTACTTTATTTTATTATTACTTTTTCTTTCTTTGTTTTCTTTGATCCATTTCCTGTACCTGTTCTGCGATCTGCTGCCTCCTCTGCTCCAGGACCCTCTGCTGCTCGTTGGTGTGGTCGATGATGGTTTTTCCTCCAATCAGCAGCTTGCTCTCCATCGCCTTCATACACACACACACGCACGCACGCACGCACGCACGCACACACACACACACACACACACACACACACACACACACACACACACACACACACACACACACACACACACACACACACACACAGAGTTAATAATTTATGGTAATTTCCTTTGTCCTGTCACTGTCTGGGTTGTCAGTGTCAGATGGTCAGATCATAAAACTGAACTCGATAATAAAAAGAATATCTAAGCAACTTAGAAGCATCTTTGTGTCTTTCAGTGACAGTTTATTGACAGCATCATAGTTGGCCACAATTAAGAGAAACAATTGTGATTTTTAGGACCTCTCTAGGGTCTCTATAAAATGTGTGAGCTTGTCTTTGTCAAATGATTATAGTGCAAAACGGACATTGTCTAAATAATGATGGAAGTGTGTCATTCAGACAAACGCCCGTTAAACAAAAACAAAGTGTAGGCGAAGTTCATGTGAATTCATTAGTGTTATGAAAGAACCTGGAGTTTTCTGATCTCTGTTCTAGTGTCGTTTCTTCATCAGCTCCTCAAAAACACACCTGGACTTGTGTTTTGTTTCATTCACACATGTCTTAACACACAAACCTACACATTTAGGCTGAGTTTTTCTCTCTAACACTGATACTCTTACTCAAACGTGTGAATAAAAAAACAACAAAAAAACAACACAACTCCAGGTGTGTTTTTGAGGACGGAACAACATTAAGATGGCTTAAAGCTCCATTTTGATTTATTTTGAGAGTCTATTTTGATTGATTTTAATGTAGGATCTTTAATAAGTTCTTTTTTTTTTTTTGCCAAAGAATTCCCAAACTACCTTATACTTCTCTATGATCTTCTCCAGTGCGTCCTGGTCCCACTGCATGTCCTCCACGCTTTTCCGGTTCTCGTTGAGATGTTTGAGCTTCTCGTTCCCGCCGTGCACCGCGGCTTTCCCGTCTCCCCTGCTCCTCTCCTCCGTCTCCTCCGCCAGCGCCTTCCACACCTCCTCATCCACCCCGGCCAGACACTTACTCAGCCGTTTACTGTACCTCCTCAGCCTGCGCTCTTTGGCCAGCATCCCCCTCTCCTCCAGCTGCGCCTTTAACCGCGCGATCTCCGCCTGGAACTCGCGCAGTAACGCGTCTTTCGGGTCTTCGTTAATCCTCGGTTTATTCTTGATGTTTTTGGCACGGCTTGCGTAACGTAAAGTCGCCAAAGTTTCAGCGTGATTACGGTGAGAAGGCCCCACAGTTGCGATCATGACAGTTTTTGCGTTACCTCCCAGTGAATCTTGGAGAAGTCGGGTTAGTTTCGAATCTCTGTAGGGTACGTGCGTGCTTTTACCGTCCACTAACGCAGAGATGACGTTGCCCAAAGCAGATAAGGATAAGTTAATTTTGGCTGCCTCTTTTAACCGTTTTCCTTTCGCTCCTGTTTTGCTTTGGCGCTCGCTTCCAGCCAAATCCACCATGTTGAGCTTGCCAACTCGGATGTGGTCTTCTCCATCTGGTCCCAGTTCGCTGCATTCAACCGTGATGACAAAAATGGCATGAGATCTGGAGCTTCTTTCGTTCATATTTGTAAAGCCTACAGATCTGGACTGGTTCCCTAATTTCATGACATGTTCAATTTCTTGCGCGTTTTTAGTCACAACTGATGACAAATCTTTCACGTAGACGCCAAAATCCGGGTTTTCCTTCAGCTCCAGTTTTTTATTATTGTCTTTACATAACAAGTCTCGTACCTCCTCTTGGTAGATCTCCAAATAGGACGATCTCACCAGGTATTTCTGATTTTGCGTCCTGGAAATTTGCGTAAAAATGTGTTGGAACGAATTGGGGATGACTCCTCTCTTCTCCGTGTCGCTGGATACACCTTGCATCGTGTGGGTTTTACCTGTGCCAGTTTGCCCGTATGCAAAAATAGTGCCGTTAAATCCGTGAAGAACAGACTCAACCAGAGGTCTCACGGCGTCGTCGTACACGTCTCTCTGGGTACAAGTCCACCCGTACACGGCGTCAAACGTGAACACCTTAAGCGGCTCATCTGGAGGCGCTTTCGGGTTCCTAATTGTAATTTGCCCCAGTTTATCATCTATGTCCAAGATGTTTTCGCACGAAGCTAGCTCCTCTTTCTTGCTAAAAGGACGACACCTGACCACCACGCGCACCGCCTCGCTGTTCTTACCTTTAGACATGTTTGCACTCTTAGATTTGACTGTTTTTGTCCATTGTATTACGCAAAACAAGCAGGGCGCTGTCCACAGAACGTCTCCAAACAGGTGCAGCAATCATGGCGCACGAAGAGTTACCCAAAACGCACGTCGTGTCACTACATCCAACACGTTTTAAGCAGTTTTTCTTCCATTTTGAGCATGTTTGGCGTGAAATTGTGACACCGGGAGATGCTCAGGAGGATGCTGAGGAGAGGAGCGCAGCCCACGCACGCGCCGCTGTGCACACCGAGCGGAACACGCCCTGATGCAGACAATGGACGCCGCGCATGTGACCCCCAGACAGCGAATGGGGTGCGAGCTCGCGCTTCCCACGGCTCCACGCGCCCGTCCCGTTGTTATGATCGATGACGTCAGCAGGAGTGTATGATTTCACGGTGTATCGATCAGGGTGACGTCAGGCATGAGCTCAGACGCACTAACAGAAAAGTCACAGGTAAAAAAAAAAAAAAAAGTCCAATTTATTCAGATGGCCTATTTCTTTTTTGATTAATAGACCTAAATAAATAGAGCTTACAATTAATTACACTTAAATACACCAATCTGAATATGAAAAAACATATCAGCCAAATATATGTTTAAATTATTATTTTTGAAGAAGTGCTATGTAATATTTTTGTGGTACGGTCTATATGGATGTTGCTTTGTCTGGAATATTCCACAGCATCTCCATGGAAACAAGTAGGTGATGCCTCCAGGGAACATTACAAGTCAGATCTGTGGAAAGGCAGCCCCGCTCACTGTAACTACACGTTATTCCAAGGTATTTTTGAGCAATAACGGCATTTGTAATGTAATAAATACACGGTACTGGACATACGTTTAATGCCGTACTGTGAAACATTCTTGGCATGGCAATAACATCTCCATGGAGACAAGCAGGTTGCAGATCCATCACAGTGTTACGTAATGTACCACCTTTAAAATGATGTTGGATTTTTAAAGATTGCATCATATGAACATAGGTCAATCAATACTAAAAAATAATCTTATGCTGGTTGTATTTATCTGGAGGAAATCATCTTCTTGAGACAATCAAACTTAAATAACTTCTAATATTTTAAACAGAAACAAATACAATTCAAAATTTGCTTTAAACATGAGTGAGCCATAATCATATCTAAATCTGGGTTGGGATGGTCATATTTACACAGAAACAAAATGACAAACTAGATTGAATAACAAAATTTTATTCTTAGACATTTACATGGACCGAGCCCTAATGTACAAAGAAAGACACTTGGACAGACATTCTTGCGAGTTAAAAAGACACAGGCTTGGAGTTTCATTTTCTTTACAACTCACAGATCGTTAGCTTTCCTCCATTTAACTTAATTATCATAAGGTACAAAACAGCAGCTCCGTTTGCTGCCACATCACAATTTTGTCTCCACTTTTCCATATAAACGTTAGGCACATTTTAGTGGCAGACTGGAGTCGTTGCGAAGTGCTACAGATTTCGAAGTTAGTTTTTCACTTGTAAAACTTCTTGCTGGAATCATTGGCGTGATCGAGAAGGAGCTGGCACGGCGTAAACGGGCTTCCATAAACGGCCTCAAACTGACGCATCTTTGCCACGAGTTTGTCTGCGCCGAAACTGTCCACGTAACGGAAAGGACCTACAAGATACATGATAAGAGGTCAGAAATCAGCAGGGTCAGGTGTTTGATTTCATTGAAATTTTACTGAGCATTTTAAAGTTTATAATAATTAAACTAGTCTTAATAAAACAGAACAAATGGTTTATTAAGGAGATTAAGCTTTAGCAGCTACTTAATTAGAGGAGTTACTTGGCCTGAATCATTCTAACAACAAATGTACACAGTGAATCACGTCTTCAAATGTTTTTAATTAGCTTTAACAGTTATTAAAAGAATAATACCTAATTAAAGTCAAATTCAGATGGTGAGCCTCGTGTACAGTACAATGGACACGTGGGTTTCTCAATCCTAGACACGACTTTCTCACCAATTTTTTCTGATTTTTGTGTTAGAGGTTAGATTTAGGTTAGACAAACCCTGTGATTTAAAGTTATTAATCCCGATTAATTCATAATAAACAGTTTATTATGAATTTAATTTTTGTGCTTTATAAAAAGGTGTGTTTTTATTTTGGACAATGGACTCCACCCGTTTGTCTCTATGGAGAATGTATGAATTTGTTTGGAATGTTTCACATTATGGTAATCAATTTTTTTCAAGACGACAAACAAGTAACATCAAAAGGCCAAGAAATGGCAAAGTTACAGGTCATATCTGTGGAGAGACAACCTAGCTCAAGTAAGAATGTTTTTTCTTTTTTTGCAATTTTTTTTGCTTTTTTCTGTGAAATGTGAAACAGATTTACAAAATTGTTGACATTTTTTACAATACTATGACAATACAGACTAGATGTAAGACATTTGCTAATGTATTTATCTGTGTATAGAATTACCTCCAAGACAGGGAGGGAAGCCCAGTCCAAACACAGCGCCCACGTCGCCCTCTAGTGGACTGTTCAGGATCCCCTCCTGTAGACACAGCAGTGCCTCATTCACAAATCGAGAGATGAGTCGGTACTGGATATCCGAGTCTGATGAACTGAGAGGGAAGACATTTTATTAGATTATTCACTAGTGATAAAAATGTTTTAAAATAAAATAACACCACTTACACAGCAGGGTTCGGCTTCAGTTTGTATTTCTCAAGAATATCGTCAATTCCTGAGTTGATTTCTTTCACTTTCAGGCCTGGTTGATAAACATAGCAACCTTTACCAGATTTGCGACCTAAAAGACAAAAATCAGGTTATGTATTTTTATAGCATAAAAATGCAAAACTACTGTGTTGTTATTAAGTACTTTTAAATCTTAATTATTTGGATTATGACAGAAAATAGGCATATTCACAGTTTTATTAGTTTCCTAAAAATACTGTACCATATTTATTATTATATCATAAATATGGTACAGTGAGATGCATATCGTGAAAATATAGATGTGGATATTGTTGAAACACTATTAGTTCATAAGAGGTCTATCTGGGAGAGCATTTGCCTCTCCACAGATCTGATCTGTAATCTCCTGCTTCATTTAAAAAGAGTTTGAGAATTTGGAATCGATCCAGAATTGCCTTTTAAGAATCTTTTTTTTTTTTTTTTTTTTTTTTCAAAATCCCTAGTAATTGCTGATCTATAAATCCAAAATCCCCTCACATCAGTTGAGTGCTTACCTTTGTATCCCAGGTCCACCATGGTCTGCAGCACTTCCACGTTACCTCCTCCAAACCGCGCGCCGAACGCTTTCCCGAGGTCCTCCGCCACGTGAGCCGCCACGTCGATCCCCACTTCGTCAATGAGAGTCGCCGCGCCAACGGGGAAACCGAAACTTGTGGTCAAGCCGTCCAGCTTCTTAGGGTCAGATCCTTCCTGAAAGACCACAACACATCAGACAAATAATATTACAGCACTATATTTTATTTTATTTACAATTACTACATGGAAATAAGTCAATCAAATTTGCCTACTTTCCTATGAAAATACTCCACAGAAATACTTTACAGATTTCATGGTTGATGGTCTATTTGATGGATGAATGGAAAACCCTGCCCTTTATTGTATTCAGGATTATAAGTCAGAAAATGATTATTATTTTATCTGTTCAAATATTAAGACGTGTCCAAACACCACTGTTATTAATTTTCATATATTTTATTTGTAAAAATAATTTACCTTTCAGTCATGTGACCTTTTACTTTGCCCCGAAAGTAAACAGAGTAAAAAATAGTAGCCACGAAAGAGAGAAATGCATAAAAACTGAAAAGAAAAGACTTCAAACTTTAAAGAAATGCTACTTAACTACCGTTGGTGATGTACAGGCGAGCACGGTCAATCTTATTTTGTATTCTGAATTTATTTTAAAGGTGATGTAATATTAGAGCTGAGCAATTTTCTCTGTCTTATTTTTTTAGTTTTCATGTTGTTCACAGTGTTTATGGAGCGGAGGGTGAAAAATAAACATTGACATGCATGATCCTCAGTATGGAGCCTGAAGTCCTCTTATTTGCGAAGAAAACCAGTGTAGCTACATTGAGAGTTGTGACACATGTTAAATGATGAGAAAGATCTGTGTGTTGGAATACAGTCTGACTCACCTGAAGGACTCGGATCGCTTCGGCCAAAATGGGGGCCAAACATCTCGTGGTGTAGAAGCCTGGGCCGTCCTAAAACACACACAACACTAATCAAACTAATGCAACACTAATACAATTAAGAAAAGCGAAAAATGAAACAAGTTACAAAAATCAATTTCACTTCTACTGCACACTAGAGACTGTTGCCTTTTTCCAAGTGGATTAAAAACACACGCAGTTCACTGATTATTAAGGACGGGACAGAATTCCCACAAGATGAGACACGAGAGAGTCCAAGATTGAGACAATATGAGATTTTAACACCATTTCTAATAACCAAATTGTGTAGATCAGTTCACATTTTTGGTAGTTACCATTTTAATTTTAGCTGTCATTCTTTTTTGGAACGATGGCTTCTCAATAGTGAACTCACCAACATTTCACACTTTTTTTGTCCAAATCAAATGCTAAAATACAGGGAAAAAATGTCACGATGAATTTCAGATACTTTTCCTCCAGTGCCTTGTTGCAATTTGATCTTGCGAGAACTTGTCAGAATTACACTGATGAATGAAGTACTGGTAATAAAACTGAATTAACTCAATATAAACAATGTTAAAAAATGTTATGAACTCATCCTATCAATTTCCGACCATATTCACAGAAAAAAAAAAAAAAAACTGCACGTCAAACCTGTCCATGGTCCAGACAAAATATGAACCAAAATAAGTGCTCTTACCCCGACCACGATGATGACTTTCCCCTGTTTGAGTCCCACGGCCACAGCGGACGCCGTCGTGTCTTTGGACGTCTGTGGCGTCGTGATGATCTCCAGCAGCTGCATCTTATCCACCGGAGAGAAGTAATGCATCCCAATCACCTGAAGGAATAAAAAATTATGAACACGGTTTATTTTAAAGGGCTACTAAGACAAGAATTGAGTCTAAATGTGCAGGGTTTGTGTGTTAAACATGTGTGACTAAAACAACAACTCCAGGTCTGTGGGCGATGAGGAAATTACATTAGAACATTAGAAAATAGCATAACATGGGCCCTTTAAGAAACAACATTATGAATACAGTTTATATTAAAGAGCTCTGGTTTATTTTAAAGACTCCTTCATATTAAAGAGGAGAGAGGGAGAACCTTTTCTGGCCTCTTGCTGGCAGCTGCGATGTCTTTGATGGGCAGAGCTGATGTGTTACTGGCAAAAATACAGTGAGGAGACACCACCTGTGGACAGATTCAATACAGTGAGTTATACTGATTTCAAAAAGGCAGTAAAATGGAGCAATGACATCCAAGAACAGAAAATGCTTGTAATATTTTGGCTTTCAACTGTGGAAATAAAACATTTTTACCCTTTTCTTAGTATACAAAGACATTTGAGTTAAAGCAACACTTCAGTTCAAGTTCAGTTCAAGTTCAGGGACATAATAATAGCTAACTACAGTAAAAGGCATAATACATGTTTCAGTACATCTGTTTGTATTTATAAAGCACTTGTTGGTGCTTTTTTGGTCTAAGACCAAATTTTACCATTTTCTTACCATTACAGTTGCGCATATTATTAGCAGTGTCTGCTTTTAAACATATACCATCTAATACACCAACAGCTGAACAACTACTAATTAGCAACCTTTTAGACTAAAGACTAATGCATTAGTTGAGGATTAAAAACTAGCCAGGATTTACCAGGCAAAACTGATTTCTACAAAACTCTACTAACTTTTTTTCTACATGCAGGAATTCCATTTAATAAGTAAAAAGAAACCTGGCCCTATTAGACCAGGACTGAGTGCATTTTCCATAAAGGCTAAGCACAGTACTACTCACCGCCTCCACTTCTTTGAGCACAGCGTGTTTGATTTTGAGGTCCTCAAACACAGCCTCAATCACCATGTCGACCTTCTCAAAGCCGCTGTAATCCAGCTGCCCCGTCAGGTTGGACAGGATCGAGTCTCGCTCAAAGGATGTGATGCTCCTTTTCTTTGTTTTGTCGTTCAGTCTGGAGGAGAAAAAGCAGCAGAAGCAAATGGGTCACTTTTCTAAAACAGCAAATACTTGATGTATGATTCTCCTTGATCTGGTCCCATTTTTTTTATTTTGACAGTTCAGTCAAAAGTCAGTTATATCACAAAATGTTTGAGTATTGTGCAGCCCTATTCAGTCCCCTGACAGTCTTACCCCTTGTAGACCTGCTGCTGCCCTCGTGCCAGTCCAGCCTCAGTCGTGTCCTTTAAAATGGTGTGCACCCCTTTATCCACAGTCACCTGAGCGACGCCCGCCCCCATCAGACCAGCGCCCAGGATGGCAAGGGTCCTGGAGGAGAAGGGTACAGTTAATACACATTTATCTCCCATTAACAGAGGGACTATGATTGTCCCCCATACTCTAATCTTTGTCCTGACAGTCCAAAAACAAGCTGAACAATAAGGCTGCAACTATTTCTATTGTTCATTCAAACCTTTAAATATAATATAAACCAAATAAAAGGTTGAAAATGGTGACTCAAGGCAAGACAAATAATTACTGAAAATGTGCAGTTGCAGCCCTTATGAACAAAAAATAGTAAAACTAATAATGACACTTTATGATTGTATTATTGTCATAAACATATAGAAGTGTATTTAAATCTGTACAACATTATTATGATCTGCAACAAGGCAATAAGTGAAATCATTTGAGTTGAAAAGTACTAAATAAAAAAGATATAGAAAGATACACTATTAAAAGGTGCAGTGTGTAACTTTTTGGTAGTGGGTCCGTCACCAGCTTGTTTCTATGGAAATGTCATTGCTCTGTCTGGAAAGTTCCACAGTGTGACATTAAACATCTCTATTTTACATTTATTTAATCACAGGTGCTTTTATAGCTCAAAAATACCAGAAAAACAAACATTCTGACTGTGAGCGGGGTCACCTCTCCACAGATCTGACCTGTAACTTGGTCGTGAAGATAGAAAGGTTTAATGCCATACTGTGAGACATTCCAGACAAAGCAATGACCTCTCCATGGAGAGAAGCATTTGACTGACATTCCACCTGAAAAGTTACACAATGCAGCTTTAAATAAAATAATTCAAATACATAAGTTTATTCCGACATAGTCTCAGTAAAAAACACGACATGATTCTCTTAAGTCACACGTACTTGACTTCTTTCTGTGGAGTCCCAAAGCGGTTCTTTTTACAGGCGACTTGACCGTGATACAGACCAATCAGAGCGGCCGATTCAGAGGTGCGAGCCAGCTGTCCAAAATTCTGAGAAAAGAACAATATATATTCAAAATTTCTAATTAAATATACTTTTTTTTTTCTTACTAAATATCAAGTTGAAACCAAAACAAAATATACCTGTGCCTCTGCCAAGTAACCGGCTACAGGGCCTTGTTCAACTCCAGTCTTTACGCACTGAAAAAACACAAGAACACTGATTAACTTTAATAATAGAACAACAACAACAACAACAAAATACACACAAATTTTAGAAATCTCATTATTGGTCCCTTTTCAACACACTAATAAACTAAAAAAAATCTATCAAATCGTCCAACAATGCACACTTAAATGTGTATTGTGGAACTTTTCTGGTGGAGACTCCATCACTTGCTTGTCTCTATGGAGATGTCATTACTTTTCCTGAAATGTTCCATGGTATAACATTAAACATGTCTATCTAGCATTTAACTCTCCACAGATCTGACCTGTAATGTAACCTATAGTTGTCTCCCTTGTCACAGATGTAATAAATTTAATCTCTATGGAGACAAGCAGGTGCTGGACCCTCCACCAGAAAAACTGTATTCCATCCTTATATCTCATGGAAAGCAATTTCATTTAATATAGCTTGATCTCTGAAAATTATTGTTTTTTGAAATGTTTAAGTTATTTGTCTTTTTCCCCTTAAAATTCCACGATCAAGTGACTGTTGGGGAAATAGCCAAAGACTCTCTATCAAATATGAAAACCTACACCACAGGGATAAGTTTGTTTTAAAGATTTACATGAATATTCTTGCAAATGTAGTGCAACCAAAAAAGACATTTAGCAAAAGTGTTCTTACTCACTTCAATGATTTTGAGTGGAGCTGGATACAGGCCTTTGCTTTGCTTCATCACTTTACCGTGAACTGTTTTGTAGATCTGATTTCTCACAAACTCAAAACTCATGATGTAGTCTTGGATTTCTGCAAACAAAAAAAGAAAAGAATGCATGTTTTATGCATAAAGAGAAAATAAAAGATGGAGTCTTTAATCTTACTCTGCATGGTGCCTTTTTCTTTGCGGAGAGAGATTTTCTTGTTGGCGATTCCTCGGGCACATTCTACAGCTATTTCTTCCAGATATTCAATAGTGCGTTCCTCTGGACTCTTCAGACCAGGTCCTACAATTAAACAAATTTACAAAGGTTTATACTGAATTGAATGCACCATAGGATTGAAAATGAAAAGAACATCTAATTAACCCATCTCTATAATCTAATCAGGAATAAAACCTACAGAAAAATAAAAATGTGGTCGTTTGCTGCAGGTTTTCCAATGAGTGAGAACAGCTAGAGGGCGCTCTAGGAAAAAGATCAAACCTTTGGACACAACGAAATCTAGGCACTTGAAAAAAGTAAAAGTCGCACGAGGAAAAGTCTAGCTAAAAGGCCTTTATTTAAATGGCCAAGCCGACAGGAATAAAACCTAGGAATTGTTTAATTAATTTAGTAAAAACACAAACATCACTAAATCACATTAAGCAGGAATCTGACTGAAACCTGTACAGTCTTTGTCATACCAAGAGGGTCCACGAGTTGATCCACAAGTCCCATCTTCTTTGCTTTATCGGCTCTGATATTTCTGCCTGTCAGCATCATGTCAAAGGCACTGGGGAGACCAACCTAGAGTGGAAAAATACACATGCAACTTTTAACATTGATATTTAGTAGTGATGGGACGAAACAATTTCTACAAGACAAGACAAGTCATGAGATTCCGTGAGAATAGAATACGAGAACGAGACAAGACGAGGTTTTACAATATTTCATAAAGAAACTGTGCCATTCAGTTCACAATTCTGTCTTTAAAATGTTTTTATGTGTTTAATTTGACAGTTTTGGAGCCACTGTATCACTGCTTTTTGGTGTTACAGCTTCTCAAAAGGAGGTACATAGTGAAGTTAACCTTTTTAATCCAAAGCAAATTTAAAAACTAAGCGGAAAAAAATCTCACAAGATCATTTTCCTCCTGTGTGCACGGTCTTGTGGCAATTTGTCTTGCGACATCTTATGACACGAGATCTTGTCCCATCTCTAATATTTAGACATTCACTATTAACTAAAATACAGATTTGTGCACTTACCATTTTGGGGAGTCTCTGAGTGCCTCCAGCTCCAGGTAACAGCCCCAGCATCACCTCAGGCGTCCCCAACACCGTCTTTTTGCTCTTTGTGGCAATTCTGTACTGACACGCGATGGCAAACTGAAAGAAAAACACACATTATCATTCAGCTGTGCTCCTGGAACCCATTTGGTTTAAATTTATCTAGAAACTATCTCTGTCAACACTGTCTTTTTGGGTTTTTTTGTCATTTTGTTTTTCAAAATTCAGGGAGGAGTTCAGATGAAAAACGAGATTTCTGACAGAAGTGTGGAGACATACAATGGGCCAAACGGTGATTTGTGTGGGGCAAAAATAATATCCGATCCAACTTTATATGTATACGACATTTTTGAAACAAGACAGTTTCCAAAGTGCTTCACATAACAGCGTAAAAGATTTAACTCTAAAAAAAATCTGCAGAATTATGTTCTGAATAAAAGGAAACAACACAATCAATAGAGAAAAGTAAAGTAAAAAAGATCTATGAATAAAAATAATAAAATCAATAAATAAAAACAGTAAAATAAGAATAAAACAGAAAAATAAAAACTTAATAAAAGACTCAGAGGACCACACAACTCATGTGGTGTTAAAAGTCAGAATAAAAGTGTGTCTTAAGACTTGTGTTTTGTTTTTATTGAACTGGAAGAACCTTTTACCTCTTCTAAGCATTATGAAGATTAGTATTTACAAGCACGTTTTAGCAGAATGCTTCATAGGGAGAGTGAGAGTAAAAGCTGTTTTAGAGATTAATTTAATCACTAATCACTCACCAAAAAAGCAAAAATATACTCTTGTGTTTACCTCCAGACCTCCTCCTAAACAGGAGCCGTTGATCGCAGCCACAATGGGCTTTGGAGACTTCTCGACTTGTTCAAACATCTTCTGTCCTTCCTGAGACAGTTTGGTGACCTCCTCCTCACTGTTACAGGCCTGGATCATACTGAAAACACATTCAAAAAGATTAAATACACAACTGAATGTATATAACTGAATAACATTTTACAAGCAACGTCCTAATATTTATTCTTCAATATCAAGGGAAAATGAAAACAAAAGTTTCACTTTTCTGGTGGAGGGTTCGTTAAACGCTTTTCTCCATGGATATGTTGTTTTGTCTGGAATGTTCCACAGTATGGCATTAAATCTTTCCATCTTCATGGAGACCAAACCAGACTAAGTTACAAATCAGATCTGTGGAGAGGCCACCCCATTCACAGTCAGAATGCCTGTTTTTCTAGACATTTTTGAGCAATAAAACCAACTGTAACTGAATAAATGTAAAGTAGATCTGTTTAATGTCACACTGTGGAACATTCCAGGCAGAGCAATGACATCTCCATAGAAAAAAAGCAGGTGACTGACCCCCAACCAGAAAGTTACATAGTGCACCTTAAACTTGCAAAATTTAGCAAACACTGTCGTCCATTATCCTATAAGCCCCAACTTGTATTACATTTACATCATGTCACAATAATTCAAGCTATCTAAGTATCTGAGACTAGGCCATAGTCTCATTCACTCATTCAGAGGGGTGCCGACACTTTTTCAGCATGTGAGCTACTTATAATAAGACCAAGTCAAAAAGAGCAACTACAAAGCCAAGCAAACTATACTGCACTTAAACACTCTGTGCCCCTTTTTTAGACCCTCACCCACAGTTTGAGAACCTCTTGTTTAAGAGAACTTCCACTGGCACTTTAAAGAAAACTGTGAAGAAAGTGGGTAGGATTTTTAAACCTTTTGTTTTTCAAGTTCCTAACTAGAGTTACATTCTCTTACTGGTTTTGCAGTGGGATTTAGCCTTTGGCACAAACTCGAAAGAACAAAACAAAAACAAAATCTAATCCAATAGAAAAGTAAGAAAGTCATGTTCAAACTAATTTCAAAATAATCCTCAATGTGCAGTGGTGACTTACTTGATATCAGCTCCTGCGATGAAGCACCCGGGTTTGGAGGAGATCAGAACAGCACTTTGAACGGCATTATTCGCCCAGACTTCAGCCATCACTTCTGTCATCTCTTTCTGCATCTGGACTGACAGTGTGTTGACCTGTAGCAAACACATTCACATTATTATAACTAGAGGTGGGCAATGTTTTTGAGACAAGAAAAATTTTAATATATTGTTTATAGGGGTGGGACAAGATAAAATTTTCACAAGATGAGACACACCACGAGATCAGGCCCACAAGAATGAGACAAGACAAGATTATGACATATTTTGAAATAAATAAGCAGTGCAATCCATTTCATAATTTTGGCTTCACTATTTTTATTTATTTTATGTAATACTTTAGTGGTCATTGTAGAACTGCTTTTTGGAACCACAGCTTCTCAAACTGTATAAATCACCAGCTCTTAACAATTAACACTTTTTTGTCCAAGCCAAAGGTAAATTCAGGAGAATTAATCTCACAAGATAATTTTTCTCTTGTGTGCACAATCTTGTGCCAATTTTGTCTCACGACATCTTGTCCCATCCCTAATTATTTATTTTATGATCTTTCTACAATTTTGTGGGTCATTTTTTTAGTCCTTTCACATTAGTATGACCTTTAAACCTCAACTGATACAAACATTTTAACCCATTCTGTTGGATTGACAATATCTTCTGATTTAAAAAAAAAAAAAAAAAAAAAAAAATAAAGACACAATTTCAAGTCTGGATTATAATAAATAAAATCAAAAAGTGCTGGCAAACCTTTGAGCTGGGGTCATTGATCCGTATAACAGCAACATCACCCTTGACTTCATAGTTAACATGAGTTCTGGCTAAAATTAGAAAAGAAATGAATGAATGTCTGAGTGGAGACATTACATAACAACTTTGCAAAACTTTTATACATTGAAAGACTTACCCAACATGGCAGGTGCTACTGAAAAAGACCGGAAACTATTACCTGCAAGAACAAAGTATATCAATATAAAACTTATCAGGAGTTCAATAAAAGAGTGAACAAGACCAGCCAATATTATCTGGTTAATGATTATTTTATACACAAGCTCCAACTGTAACTCTCCACCATTCTTATATGCAATCCAATCTGATATACTGCATTTTGAATTGTTGTGATTGCACGATTAATGTGCCGTTATGAAAATTTGTTGAGTTTACCCCACAATAAAACACCACCTTCTGGAGTATGATAAGTAAATTCAAATTCAAATATATTTATTTATTGCTCATGCTATTATTTTGTTGGCATCAATTTAAAAATTAAAAAAATCTGACAATTAACATAAATACACATTCCAACCATTATTTGCCTCGTCTTTGCTGCATGAACAAAAGGAACAGGACGGAGAAAAATCTTATAAACCCTGCTCCTTTCACTGATCAAATCAAATAAACATTTCAAATCATGAGTCGTACGCATGTTACAATATCCCTCTGTGGTTTACATTTCAGTCACTTAACCATTTTCCTTAGTCACATCATGCATCATCATTTTATCCTTGTAAAAAAATTTTTTAATTTAGAAACACTCGTGCAACTTTTAAAATCAGGATTTAACAAGTTCCATATCTTGACTCCATACACAGAGACACATTTCTGCTTTAATGTTGTCTTTGAGAATACAGTTTGGAAAAAACATTGTCTTCTATGGCCACAGTCCTCCAAGACAAAATTTAAAAAATATTTATAAATGTCTGTGTTATATTAAACATAATTTAAAAAAGGGATATAAACTTACATTTGAGTTACAAGCAGGTGGTTATTCTAGATTACAATAACTCTCCCTTATGTAACAGATAATACTTCCTACAACTGTACACCAACTCTCCCTTATGTAACAGATAATACTCCCTACAATAATATTAGGACAATTTACTGTTTGACGGGAGCGTTTCAGGTGAATCCTTATCTCATAATGAAAATAGTTTGGGGCTATCACATGTCAGACTAGAGTTATGCATCTTAGGAAGTTTATGTATATCCATCCATTTTCTGTGTATGTATAACTTTCATATATTTAACAAAGTTATCTAAACATATCTACCATAAAATGAACATTATTTTAAAAGCAGCTTGACAAGGATGACCAGATTTTCAAATTTCAAAACTGGGACACACCTGGGTTGGGACGGTTGATATAAATAAAATTGTGAAAATAGTCCATTCTTGTCCATTCTTAACTTGCACTGTGGGTCAATCATAATCTCAGGGACTTCAGATGGTGCTTTTTCATTTTCACACTCCAATTTTGGTATTTTAGCGAAACAAATGATAACATATTCCTCTCTTTCCTGTTGGTTTGTATTAGGGCTGGGTATTATAAAGTAGTTGCCAATATGATACATATCTCGATACAGTGCACTTTCAATTCAGTATGATTCGATATCAAATCGATTCGATACGGTTCAATAAAAAATAATGGCCAAATCATGGCTGTGACACTAAAAGTTTTTGTTAAGCCACTTCTTGTGCAAAGTTAATATGAAACACACCCAACAGTGAAAATGTCAAATGTGTCGCATAAACGAGTTTCCTTTCATTAACAAGCAACAATAAAATAAAATAAATTAGTAAAATATACCAAAAAAGCCCAACATATCGAAACTGTACCATCACATTAAAACTATATGATATATCGATATTTCAGTATTTGTGCACACGCCTAGTGGGTATCAAAGTGGTCAAAATAGGGACACATGGGACATTTCTTGTATAAAACTGGGACAGATCACTGGTTTTGGATAAATCTGCTGGGACAGGGAACATGGGCTCAAACCTGAGACTGTCCCGGTTAAACAGGGACGTCTGCCCCCCCAATGTTGACATGTGTGTGGGCGTCTGCCTGGAGTAATATTAGTTTGACCTCAAAGTCCTGGTCGTACACTGAAGTCGCGTCACCTTTCACCCAGTTCCCCAGTCCAAGTGCACACTGTAAAGCTGGCAGAATGACAAATGAATGGTACAAGCTCTATTACGTCCTTGCATTACCAAATTAAACGCTTAATCTGATTTAAATGACAAATATCTGCTTCAATCATGCTGTTAATTAAAAATGACTAACTTTTTAGACGTGTTTTATTGATGTTTGATAACACGTCAAGCTTTGAACAAGACAACCTGTAACTTTTAATTATTAAAAATTAATATGAATATTTAAATATTGCATGACAGCGTTTAACAGAAAGCAAAATCGTCGTTATATCAATGAATTGATCCAGTTTACCCATTGCATAGTACTGAGTGCTAACATGCTAATTACCCGTCCAGCGCTAAATACAAAAAGCGAGCCCCACGTTTTGGACATTTCCGTACAGTTTATGTATTACTTGTTAATTTTCTGCAGATATAAGTCCTCCTGTACCTGTGAAGAGGGGGTATTTCCGAGATGTTAGCCTGGAAAGCACACCAAGGGCTCGTACACCGGCCATGTTTGGAAGCGGAGGTCAGCGGTGAGTCTGCGGCGGCCTGAAGCCAAAGCTAAGCGGCTAGGCTAGCTGTCATTTTACTTCCTCAAACTCGTCAGGCGGCATGCATTCTGATTGGCTGCTGAAGAACAAACTCGTTTCCTATTGGCTAAGGTGTGAGATAGCGGACTCTCTTTACGAAGAACGTTTAACATTTTTATATTTATCTGTATATTTTTTAATAATAAATAAAATAAAATAAAACATACATACATAGCTTTATCTGCTTTGGTGGATAATATATTTCCACTGATATTTGTGAATAACTTGAAGTTAACGGTCTATTGCAATTTATCACCACAAGGCGGAGGCAAAGTTCAAAAATATTCTTACACTAGCAGCATTATTTGGAATAATGTTGATATAAAAGAGTATATTTTGTTCTAGTATATCCTTACACCAGTATTTATACAGTATTTCCATGATTTCAAAACCAACCAAACTCTTAGTCAATATTATACTATTATCATAACAAGTATAATTTAGGGAGTCTATACAGTATTTTCATAATTTTTCTAGTCAGCTCTTGATTTTATAGGTTGATATTTATTCTCTCTTCAAACCATGAAGGAGAGAGTTAAGGAAGGAGTCACTCTGTTTAGATGAGATATTGTTATAAAACATGAATAAATCACAAAAATCCATTCATTTTATAAAGTGTCCTGTACCTCAAATATGCTCATGAAGTAATAATGCCAAATTTCAAGTTTCAAAGTTTAAGCTTTAATCAAATAATCTGTTGAACGCTTCCTACAACAGGAACTGATATATATGACTGTTGCACAATTTTTAGTTTTGCTGTGTCTTAAAATACTCAAAACAGTAGCAAGAAATGAGGTTAAATCCAAAGAAAAGTGAAGTGAAAAACAACAAAATCCCCAAGTAAAACAGGACAGAGTGTAGATCAGACATCTCCCAACTATGGCCTGGGAACCAAATGCGGCCCTCAGACAAATTTTTCTTGGCCCTCAGACTTCTAGGTGAAATGGCCCCAATTATCTTGCATCAATTAAAAAATATATTTTTTTACTGCAAGCTTTTTGAAAATCTACCTTGATAAAGCTATTGTTTCATATTTAGTGAGTGGTTTTAAGGATCTTAGCATGAATAAAGACTGATGGCTCATTCTAACGTGTTAAACATGCACATATTTCAATTATTCACTGTACTGAGCATCGGCCCTCGATCGACCCTCTGCTTCGTCTGTCTTTAGATATATGGCCCTTGATGAAAAAAGTTGGACACCCTGGTGTAGATGATTAAAAGCTGTTGATATTTGCAGGTATTGTTTTTTTTGATAATTTTTATGTTCATTGTAACTTTGGTTGCAAATTATGCGGTTTCTAAGTTTGCACATTGCCCTTTTAGATATCAAGACACCTTTGACTTAATTTGTATTGTTCTAAGAAATTCTATGTAGATGTGAGCCTATTTTTATTTGGTGCTTCTAAAAATCACACCAGAAAGGAAAATGTGACAATGATTCTGATCTGAAGAACAATAAAAGGAGCATACATCACCATAATCCCCCCTCTTTAAACATAGATCAAATATACAAATATAAACACAGTATGTACTTAATGTAAGCTACACTTTCCACAATCCCCTGGGTGCAGATAACCCCACAACACGATGGGTCAAATGCAGAGAAAAATATCTTCGCAAAAACAAAAAATGGAGTTGTGTTTTGTTTCATTCACACATGTTTGAGTAACTCCTTATTATTAGTTTGTCTACACTGACAAAGCTCCAGATGCTCTGTTCCATCTGGTGATGTCATGAAGGGGTAGATTTCATCTTAACAGCTCCTTTTACCCGTTTTTTCAGTAGAGATTGGCAATTCCTGGACTGAAATGATCCAAATGATTCTAGTGAAAGTGTGTGGAGTTTAAAAATACAGTGGAGCACTTCCTGTATTACCACATAAAATCACAAGGAATTAAATTAGGAATGCTTATGCATTTATCATTCAGTTTCCTTTATTACCTCCGCCAAGGAGGTTATGTTTTTGCCAGCGTTTGTCTGTTTGTTTGTTTGTTTGTTTGTTTGTTTGTCTGTTAGCAACATAACTCAAAAAGTTATGGACCGATTTTGATGAAATTTTCAGGATTTGTTGGAAATGTGAAAAGGAAGAACTGATTTCATTTTGGGGGTGATCCGGAAGAAATCCTGGATTCTGGATCACTTTGAAATTTTAGTTAACATTGTGGTAAAAGGGGCCAAAAATGTTGTTTCTCAATATCTCGGTTAATTATTGACCAAACCCCATGAAATTTGACTCAGGGATGGACAATCGGATCCTCTTTCATATTCCAAATTGAAAGATACGAGACAAATATTTATGGAAAACACAATTAATATGAGGGGGACTGTAGTCCTTGGCGGAGGTCTGCGCTCTCTGAGTGCTTTTCTAGTTAGTTTTGCTTTACTCTGTTTTATTTGACCTTTTTACGTTATATATTTTTTCTTTCATATATGATATGAATTTGAATGTCTGTTTTATGTGTTTTAATTGTATTGTATTGTACGTATGTATTATAATCAAATAAATAAATAAATAAACAAATAAATAAAACATGACATCAGTTTTCATTGTGAGAGAAGAACTCAGAGTTAACAACATTATAACATAGATCAGAAAACAGATAAGCCTATGTTTCTGTCAATCATCATATCATCTTTGCTCTGTTCCTTACGACTTCTTGTAAGGATAAAAGATATACTGAATTTTTATTATGATATTTGTTTTTTATTTACTGTACATACATTTATATATTTTATATCTTATTAATACCAGTCTGTTGCTATTTTTATTGCTACTTATTCAGAATTATTACCATTTTTATATTTGTTCTCTTTGTTCTATGTTGTAATTTTATTATATTGTGATGTGTGGCTCCTGTGTCCAAATCATTTCCCTTGTGGATCAATGAAGTTTGTCTCAGTCTAAAATGGAACCTTTAAATAATTTGATTTGCTGGGTCAGGTCCCTCACAGGTGCCTCACAGTATAACAGGTCCCTCACATTATGACAGGTGCCTCACAGTATGACAGGTGCCTCACAGTATGACAGGTCCCTCACAGTATGACAGGTGCCTCACAGTATGACAGGTGCCTCACAGTATGACAGGTCCCTCACAGTATGACAGGTGCCTCACAGTATGACAGGTCCCTCACAGTATGACAGGTGCCTCACAGTATGACAGGTCCCTCACATTATAACAGGTCCCTCACAGTATGACAGGTGCCTCACAGTATGACATGTGCTGTTACAGGTGCACAGTATGACATGTGCACAGTATGACAGGTCCCTCAGTGTATGACAGGTGCTGTGACAGGTGCACCGTATGACAGGTGCTATGACAGGTCCACAGTCTGACAGGACCAATGTATGGCAGGTGCACCGTATGACATTTGCTATGACAGGTTCACAGTCTGACAGGACCAGAAAATGACAGGGGCACAGTATGACAGGTGCTGTGACAGGTGCCCCACACGTTTTGACAGGAGAGCGTAGAGGGGGCGGGTCTTAAGGTCACCAACCCGGCGCCAACCAATCAGCGACAAGCTCCTCCAGTCTCCAGCCAATGAGCGCTGAGGGGCTGCCTGGTTGCGGAGGTAGTGTATTGGTGTGCGCCGGAGAAGAGGACGCAACTCTTCCCTTTTTACCTCATTTAACAACATTTTTCTACTAATCTGTCTCGTTTTACGCGTATCCACCGTGCGTGCCGCCAACAGCCTGCAACATGGACGTATCTGTTGTTGATACGTAGCAAAAATAAGGAGTTAAACGCTGCCTTGTCCGCAAAGCATCTTTAAACATAGTGGAAATTACGATGCCTTCCCCGATGGAGGGATCTTCCAGAGATGGTGACCTGTTTACTGTGAAACATGAGCTCAAAAATGGTAAGTAATACGCGACCTATTTGCACTTACAATACACGGCTTTATCTTGTGTTATTACCGTTTACTTACAGACACGTGTCACTGCATATGTTAGCCGCTAGCTTGTAAACCTGCAGTCAATGGGCGTTTGTATATATGGCTAGCAGTAACATTTTGCAAGCCCAAATATGGCAGGAGGAGGGCTATAGTTCACCCCCTGGCCTTGTTACTTGAAATATGACTTTTAACTTATGCAAACTAATGTTATCTAACCATCTGGACATGCTAGCCTAGGAGTGCAGGTTAGACACTGCGGGTAAAAGCAGCAGCAGTGGAATAAAATTAGCTTAAGCCTGTTGTGAAGTGGGTTAAAACCGCTCCAAAGTCTATAGACAGCCTCAGGAACTTGGCACCCGTGGAACTAAGAATACTAGAGGGTAAAAGTAGGTTGCATTGCGTTTGATTATGTTGTAATTGTGGATAGAACCAACTTCTGCTTTGCAATAGACGTCTGCAGAACTGTCAATTCACACTCACGTCGCTAATATAAAATGAAAAATAAAAGTAGTATACAGATAAAATAATAACTATAAAACATCATACAGTGAATACAACAACAACAAAACTGGGTATGTCATGTAAATATATGTCATCTAATATAAGTTTATCCTTTTCCCACTCCTTTTTGAGAAATGTGCTTTTCTGTTGCTTATAATGTTGTATGTATATGATTATTGTTTCCCTCTTGGCACAAACTCCAAATGAAAACAAATTAATCAATCAGTATAATTTAAAGGTCCTATATTACCCAAAATTGACTCTTTTGAGCTTCAAGTCATGTTATAATGTTGTTCCCTCCTCAAAAACAGACCTAGAGTTGTGTTTTGTTTCATTCACACATGTTTGAGTAACTCTTTATTATTAATCCGTCTACATCTCCAAAGCTCAAAATGTTCTGTTCCACCTTGTGATGTCACAAAGTGGTAGTTTCCAAGTGAACAGCTCCTTTTACCTTTAGTTCAGTAGAGATTGGCAATTCCAGGTCTGATATCAGCCAAATGATTCTAGTGAAAGTGTGTATAGTTTAAAAACACAGTAGAGCACTTCCTGTATTACCACATGACATCACAAGGTGGAACAGAGTGTTTTCAGTTATAGAGATGAACTCAGCCTAAATATACAGGTTACCTTCTTGGGTTCTTTTTAAAGACAGTACAGTAGGAGGTGTATTTACCTTGTTCACATGTTTTTTGTAGTTTTTTTGTCTTTTAAAAAGAACCCAAGAAGTTAATCTACATAAGAAGACATAATGTTTTTGGATTACTAAATGTGCAGGTTTTTTGTGTTAAACTTGGGAACGTGGGAATGAAACAAAACACAAGTCCAGGTCTGTATGTGATGAGGAAACAACATTACAACGGAGATCAGAAAATAGTGTCACATGGGCCTTTTAATGTATGTAAAGAAAATATGCTTTAAAGCCACGTTATGCAACTTTTATGCAAATAATAGATTCACATAAAAACACATTGGACATGTTGGTTGCGTTTACTGCACACACTGTCTGTACTGTGAGTGAGGCTTGCATCTCCACAAACCTCTTATTTGACCTGGAAGAGGGCATTTTCCTGCTTGTTTCCATGGAAATGCGGTTCCTTTGCCTATAATATTCCACAGTATGGCATAAACCTCATCTATCTCCATGGAGACAGCTCTGAAGTATGGTTTTAATCCGTTTTCATGGAATCATACAGGTGACATGCCACCTTCAGAAGGCTACATACTGTACTTTTAATTAACTCATGCAGTGCTCAACTTTTACTTAATATGACAATATACTTTTTTTCTGCTGTTATTTAAAGCTCCACTGTGTAACTTTTCTTGTGGAGGGTCTGTCAAATGCTTTTCTCCATGGAGATATTTATTGTTTTGTCTGGAATGTTTCACAGATGAATGCTGTTGTTGTGTCCATGGGCAAGATACTTAACCCCCACTGTCTGTGCACACTGGTGTATGAATGTGTGTGTGAATGGGGGAGTGGTTCCTTGTTGTAAAGCACTATATAAAAAAACGTTTACCATTTTATCTTCATGGACACCAAACTGCTCACAGTCAGAATGTCTCTTTTTCTAGGTAATTCTATTATAAAACCACCTGTAATTGAGTAAATGTAAGGTAGAGCTTAATGTCATACTGTGGAACATTTCAGGCAGAGCAATGACATCTCCATAGAAACAAGCAGGTGATGGAAACAGAAACAGAAACACAATGGACCTTTAAGAGCACAAATCAGCTCACCTGTTGTAGTTCGAGCTTAGTTATGGTCAGATTAAAGTCTAATTTGAGTAACAGAGCTTCAGACAGAGTAGTGCCTCCACTTAGCAACACACCCCCAGGGAATTTTAATGTCATCAGATGCAAAGTCTCATTATGTTCTTTGTAATGACACTGTTAGAAAGCATGAACTTGTATAGATTTTCTTGTATAATGGACAATTACTGAAGCCCACAAGGGTCAAGAAAGGTTCAGTTACAGTTCTTCAAAGCAAGACAGCTTGGGTAGTGTTCTAACAAATGGGTTTTGTTACATAAGACGCCATTGTTTTCGTTGCAATGTTCAGGCTCATTTCCAGATTCATAATTGAATGAGATTATTATTGTTGGCTGTTTCTTCTTTAAAAAGTGAACAATGTTCAGATATAAGAGCTTTCTTACATAAGGATTCTGTATAGAGTATATTATCTATTTCGCATTATACAACTTTAGAAGTTAAGAACCTCCAACACAAAAGCCTGTTCATCTGTCATTTATCTGAATAATAATTAACCCATTAACTCATTTATAAATGTTTTCCTTTGAATCTAAAGTGTCTGTATCTGATTTTCACTTTTTTGAAATGTGAAAAACAGAACTACCCCAACTGAACCAGAACTCAGGCAGAACTGAACCAGAACTGAACCCCAGTTGAACCCCAACTGACCCAGATCTAATCCAGTGTGCATACGTGTGCAGGTTTAGCCCAGCTCTTTATTTAACATCGTCATTATCTTCATTTCACACACTTTATTTATGCTGGTCACTTTATTTAGATGATGTTAATCAAGAGCATGGACTACTTTTTAAAATGCAGGTCAGGTGATGAGCACTTTTCACAACAACATGCATGCTAATGTGCACTTTCTGATTATCATAAGGACAATGAAGCACTTTATACATGTGTATTTGCAGTAGGGATGGGCATGATTAGTCGATTAATCGATAATTGATCATTAAGAATTTCATCGATTACGTTAATTTTAATTGACAAACCGAATGTAGGTTGCTCTGCGTAGCGTGACCAAACAGGGGTCTGTACATGTGTCTCTGCACTCAGAAGGAACGAGACACAAACAGTCGGTCAGTCTGCAGCGTACCAAAGCACAAATGCGTATTTAACGATGACTTGTACAAGAAAATCCACGCTTTCCGTTGCATTCGGGACAAGTTTGAGGTCATGTGCACAGTGTATAAAGCAGCACATATGTTTCGGTGTTCAGTGGGAAAAAGTTTTACCAGGTGAGAGTCGCGCAATATTGATGACGAGTCCCCACCTCCCTCCCCCCGCACGGTGTCCTGGTTTTGACAAACGCACTGGTTTGGTCACACTAACCTGTATTCACCTGAGTCATGTCTTTTAATCCGACAGAAATTGACCGCATCGGCGCACAAGAGCTGTAGTTTTATCTTCGCTGACTTTACGCAAATTAGCGATGCGGTTTTAAGTTTTGTTTCTGTGAGAGTTTCGCAAAACTGAATTAAACACATTATAATGTCAAACGGGCTGATGTGGCTCTAGAGTGGTTACGGTTTATATGTCGTAAAGTTGAATTTATTTATGCAGATTAGTAGTGCCGATAGTAATAATAATGATGATCATTTTAATATAAAAACGTTAATGATTAATCGATAATCGATTGTTAATTCTTCCGACGATCGATTAAGAAAATTTCATCGAATGCCCATCCCTAATTTGCAGACAGCTAGAATGTTCCACAGTGTGACATTAAACTGCTTTTCTTTACGTTTATTCAATTACAAGTGGTTTTATAGCTCAAAAATACCTCACAAAACACATTCTCATTGTGAGTGGGGTCGTCTCTCCACAGATCTGACCTGTAACTTGGTCTGGTTTGGTCTCCATGAAGATAGAAAGGTTTAATGCCATACTGTGAAATATTCCAGATGAAGCAATAACGTCTCCATGGAGCAAAGCATTTGATGGACCCTCCATCAGAAAAGTTACACAATGCATCTTTAATGTGTGGACATGTGGATGTGGTTGACTCATGGTCACCACCTTAGAGGCAAAACCAAAGAAGAAAAGTGAAAACAACCATAAAATCGTGTACACAGCAGGGCTAGCATACGCTGCTTATCTGGCTTTGTTTACACTGTTAAGGAATTTTTCTGTAGAACTTTACTGACTTATGTAACTTTACGAGCACCTGCCCCAGGGGACCAGTGTTACCCAGAGTGCACCTGTGCCAGAACAAGAAACCAACAAGAAAACACATTTGTTGCTAATACTTGAACGAGTGAAAAAATTTAATCAAATTTTTTATTAAATAGTTTTGTCTTTTTTTCAATATATTTCTGAACCTAAAGCAACAGAGTGTCACTTTTTAGCCAAAATAGAACTAAACCAGAACTAAACCAGCATGATTGTTATTAGTCCATAAATACGTGTGTGTCAGTCTGATTTAACCATTATTTATGACAGAAATCAAGTTTGACAGTTTAGACTTCAGACTTTTTTTACCCAGAGCCAGATTCACATGACCTGCATGTAGTGAATGAGTCTGAATCTCTCTGTGAACAAAATATATAATATATGAAACACAGATGAAAATAAAAATGTCTTGTTGTTTTTTTTTCCATTTTGTTTGTGTTTATTGCATTGGCTGAGCTTACTCTAAGAGGGCTTGCATCTCCACAGATTTGACTCTACCCATAAATGTCCAAACCTGCACTGGTTTCTTTTCA